ATAACAATAAATGGCTTCTCATTACAATCCTATTGACGACCAACAATTTTTTGAACAATTACTATTAAGCATCAGAGGGGCTACGATTAGTTATTGTTCAAGACGAAAGAAAAAAGAAAATAAAGTTAAAATAAAATATAAATAATATGTTAGACGGTGTGACCGTTGGTGAGGGCGGAGCCATCAAGGGAACATTTCTACATTTTATTGTTCAATGATAAATCAGTTTTAAAATCAAGTTGTAATTAGTGTCAGAAAATCATAACAAAGAGCTCAGCTTTAAGTTCTCTTACCTCAAATATTTTTCATTTCAAATAAAGAAATTTAAGGGTATTTGGTTTCATAAATCTGGAAAACTTTTACTAAGATATTTCATCATGAATCGCCTAGCCAGTGCACTCAAAATCAAGTAGCATAACGGGGAAAGAGCGTGCACCGGACCAGTCAAGGATTCAACCGACCAAGGCCGTGCAAGGCCCAAGAACTCTTAAACGTTAACTCTTTTACCTATGTATCTGTGCAACAATTAATACGTGAACTTGCATGCATGAGCATCATTTCTTTATCTTTCACGACTTAATTTAAAAACCTCAATCCAGAAACATCAAGTCATTTAATTCTCATGTTTTACTTCCAATGAATGGTCATGACATCAAATACAAATAAGGACAATTGTCAGGGACTACATCGGAAGTCGAACTTGGGACCCAAACTACAGAAAGATAATTTAACTCCTGGGTTTTCAGGACATTTGGAAACTGATCATCTGACCAACACTAGGGCTGTGTATCGTGAGGGCTAAAAGTATCAGCATCGCAAAATTTCTGAGAATTATTTTCTTAATTTTAATGGAAAAAATGTAGAGTAAATTTAACGTTTCTGAATTTTTTTAAAAACTTATCTGATTCGAATAGGCTTTAGTGCTTTCAAAACTAACATATAAGCAAGGTAAAAATCTTTTCTTTTTAATATCTAGAAAAACAAATTTAACTCAATAAAAGTTTTTTCCAGATATTAAATTGTTTATGCCAAAACTATTAGAATTTTAAAACCCAAACTTGTGAATAATAGGGTACATTTCAGGTCATGTCATGTGTTTTGCAGTTCCTCATGTATTGTTTAACTTAGATTTCCTCATATGATTTTGGACTTTATACACTATCATAATCCACCATGGGTTCCAAATGGCTGAATAAATTTTCTGTTCTATATTTTTAAAAGTACTTTTTAAAATAAAAATTAGAAATCATTTTACTTTATCCGTTGAAGTGTATCCACATGTATAAATGGAACATGTGTTTGATGTGGTAGTTTGAGCTTCAGACATGTCCAAAGATTTTTCTTTTGATGGTGAGTTTCACGAAACTGAAATTTGACACTTAAAAAAAGTGGTAAAACTTGTGAGAAAAAAAAAATCACAACAACAAAAATGAGACACAGGCCTCCACTTGCAAACATATATAGGAACAAGCAGATAATCAAAGACAAGAATGAATGAATGAATACATAAATAAATAATAAAAATAAAATTTAAAAGAATTAAAATGCATACCCCTTCCCCCCTTCTTGAGTTCATACCAGAATTCAGTAAAGCTTTTCATGCAATATTTTACCACTAAAACATTTTTTTTTAAATGTATTATTCAAGAGGAAAATCATACTATGTCACAAAAAATCTTATATTTCTAGTTTGTGTATTGAAAATAATCCTAAAAACATTCGTAATTAATAAATTTATCAACAAATAAATTACAGTTGTTCCTTTTCCATAAAGTCTGGTAAAAGGGGCCACAGAAAGATCCGCCCCTCCATAGTGCGTAGTACGCAGTCTAGACAGTGACGTCACTGGAATTCCTTGAACTGAGTTTTTTTGTTTCACCAAAAACATAGACTCTAGTAAGGTTTATTAAAAGTTGAATAAATCTTTCTTTAAAAATAGAGTACGCATATGAAATATCAATTATTACAGTTTGTTAAAAATTCAACAGTTTCCGCTGATTCAGTAATGAATGACGTCACATGTCAGGTCTATGACGATCGAATGCAAGTTAGTTGAAAACGAAAGTAACAAAGATGTGTACTATAAGGGTGTTTTTGATTATTAGAATTGATAAAACTTCATTAAAGCAGGATTGGAATTAAAATTACGATTCTCCAGTTTCTCGTCTATGCGGGAATTCGTCGCGAGATTCAAGATGGAAAAGACTATGGACGCCATATTGGCGACAAGGTTCTCAGTTCCATAGGTATTGTAATAAAAATATAGTTTACAATAGAATTCAATATATTTTACATATATACGTGTTACCTATAGGGAGAGCTTCGCTCTCACGGGCCCTTCGGGCCCGTGAGAGGGCTCCGCCCTCTATTAAAAGAAGAAATATCTCAGTTAGAAAGCAATAGAAACACTGATAATTCACCGGAAATTTAAAAAGAAAAAAAGTTGGAATATTCGAAATGAAAATTGAAAGATATACGAAAAGAATACATTAAAGATCTGTTTGTGAGAACAAAAGTTAAGTGGATAGAAGGAGAAAAGCCGACAAAGTATATTTTAAGTTTAGAAAAAAAAACATAGATTATCAATAATCTATGTTCTTTATGTCAGCAAAATGTTGAATCAATTGTACATATTTTCTTTATTGCCCTAAAATTAACCCATTGCGGTCTCTTTTAGAAGTTTGGATATTTGAAAAAAACTTTAAAAGTAATAAAATTTGATGTTTGCACAATTATACTTGGTTCTTCTAAAGAAGAAACAATTATTAATCTCATATTGCTACTTAATTAAACAGAAGATTTTTCAACAATCAAGAAATAACCAAAATATAACTATCCACAATATCAATAAATACTTATATGTGTATTATAAATTTGAAGACAAATTGTATAAAATTAACAATGAACTTCATGTGTATCAAAGAAGATGGATGAACTGGAACCAGATATTTGAAAACAAGAACATACATGTATAGATAAATTTATGTCATCTATATTATTATTTTAGCATATTTTGTGTATTCAATTTTTTTGGTATTTCATGTATATTCCTAAAAATCTGTAATTAAACCTTCCAGCTGTAGTGTATCTGTGTATGTGTATGTATGTTTGTTTATGTCTAAAAAAAAGTTGAAGTCATCTCGTTTGTCATACAATTTAGTTGTTAGTTGGCACTTATCGTCTATAGTCAGTAAACACCCAAATATAAAACAGATGTGGCATACTCTGTGATATCTTTTATTTCGAGTTCACTTGGATATATATATTCGTTATATGTTGTTAATTTATAATACGTCGTCTGTAAATCTGAATGTAGAATTAAAGACCACAGCAAGTGTTTTCTTCTTCTCAGGTGAAAGGACAAGGTATGGTAACGGCCGAATCGGGCCCTTATTTGATGTAAAAATCAGAACACAGTTAAAATTGTAATAGTTTGTAGTTAGGAACTTAAAATGATGCTTGTTTTAAAACCAGCATTAATTATTTTGATTTAAACTTACAAGAAGACCACAAGAGGGTGCAGAAGAAGGACATTTTCCCGAATTTCCTCAATTCTGGTGGAATTTCGTCAAATTTGAGATACTTTTCACTTCGGGAAACATACAGCACAAGCTTGCCTATCTGAGATTTTTATACATAAGATGCATATGATGCTAGTTTATGAAATATATAAATTTGGCAGATAGGCAAGCTTGTGCTCTATGTTTTCTGAAACAAAATGTGTTGTAAAATCGATGAAAATTTGCATAAAAATGAGAAAATTCGGAAAATGGCATATTTTCTGACCTTTTTGTGACCTCTGGGTATCCCATAACTTAGAACCAATACTTATTTTGTGGCAGGGGTCACAACAGGTTTTTATTGATAAACTGTTGCATAATTCTAAAAGACACCTCAAACCAGGGGCCAAAAAGGGGTCTTAGCCTATCTTGTCCTTTGTTTAATTAATTCTGCTTCATTCGAATATAGAAACAGGTCAGCTAGTTAAGGAGCACAATTAGTGCCTCTGGAAATTCCAACAGTCTGTTGAAAGACCTAGTCTCCGGAAACTACATAGATATTGTCAATGAGGAACTCCAGCATCCCTTTAATGTCAATTTCAGAGTACTTGTGTGTGGAATCAGAGTGATTTTAAACACTTATTTTGTTGATGACTCATTTAAAACCTTGCGAGTTCAATTTTTATTGAAGAGGCAGTTATCTATCATATCAAAAAACCTAGTTTTTAATTTATCGTATGGAATGGTTGAATATAGTGTAAAAAATTGTACCTTTTAATGTTAATGACTTTTGAAGAATTTGACTTTAAATTTTCTGAAAGTTCTTTGATTTTGTAAGAATCAATTTTTTCCATGCAATTGTTCATTATGTTGTGTTTGTACCCAAAATGCCTTTGTTTAGTTATGAATATAATTAAATAACATATCTTTGATAATATCCTGATTATATAATACACTTATAAACAATAACTACAATTAAATCTAATGAAATTTGAGGAAGTGCTTAGAAAATAGAGAGAGAGAAAAAAGGACAGACAGATAGGCTTAAAATGATTATCATTAAGTCCACTACAGTTATTCCTGAGATCAAAGAAATGCCGCAGACATCATTCCCCATTAGAAAGGAAAACTTTTTATCTACTACCTGACAATTTTTCATATTCGTCTTAGCTAGAAATGAAAACATCAAGTTTTCAAAACAATATCATCAACACTTTTTAAGTTATAGCTCAAACCAAAGCATTTTTGCAAAGTTTCAGTTAATATTGAAGTACCAAACAGGAATTTCGTCGAAATTTTATGTTATAATTTGCAAAACTGTATGGCTATTAAAAACAAATTGTCTATCGATGATCAAGAGAATTCAATATATAAAACCGGTAACACTTGTTTATAATGAAATGGATTACTATCAATATCAATTACTTCCTCAATTTATTTGTCTCATATTTATATCAATCACATTTCTCACCAGTTATCAAAAAATTCTGTGGCCAAAATATGGCTTTATTTGTACATTGGATCACGATAATCTTATCTTTCCAAAAAATATTTGGAGTGGAAAACTGTTTAAAGTAAGGCAATCGTTTTTAAAGTTTGCTTAAAATTCAACAATACAAACACTATTTACCATGTTCATATTGAGCCATAAGCAACATCAAAGCTTATTATCAAACGCATATCAAGAATATTCTAATAACAGATGTAAATATGTGCCTATTTTTTTAGAATCCCATAATAGAATGTAGTTCTTTGTAATGTACTTTTTTTATTATCAAAAACTACCTTGATAGGCTGACCATATTTCCAGAATAGTCCAACTTTGAAATGGATTATTTCTATCTGAAGCTGTATGATATCTCTTTCTTTTTGTTTTAGATCCGTAACATCGTCGGTATGTTGCGCAGACTACTATGTAGAAAACGGAAACTGCGTTCGTAAGTATAGCCTTTAAATGGTAATAATCGGATATTTAAACTAAAGGTTGTTTGTATGATAATGTTTTAAGACTGCTTTCATTCACTTAAGCTTGTCCGATTGGACTGTTTGGACCAAACTGTACTCACACATGCCCATACCCATCGTATGGTCATCGGTGTTTAGAGGGTATTTGTCAATGTCCTCAGGAACTGTGTGATTCAAAGACTGGCTGCAGAAATCGTGAGTATACCATATGCATTCATAAACACATTTTCAAGTTCTTAATTCTAAGTATTATATCAAAATCATTTCCTAAAGCATATTGCTCATGAAAGGCGAACTGAATTTAACAATATTTTTCAACTCTTATTGCTTGTAATATCATCTAGTTTTGAATATATTATCATATGATTTTTTACAGAATCTTATCATTATATTTTAAGAAGTTTCATTTTTAGCTTTAATAATATTGTCTTTCTGATATTTAAAACATTCAAAAAGTCAATGAAGTATGGTATGAGAGAGTCTTTACTAGAAGTAGATCTCTTCGTTTTGTTTTCCCTGTTTAGCATCAAAAGACAAACAGATATCATCCACCCATTTGACCTCAATTACAACAAGAAGTGTTCCACTGTCAAACCACAGGGCTGTTCTTGGAAATTTAAGCACTAGTACTAGTCCGAAGGAGATAAATGTAAAAAAGTCTGAAGATAATAAAATCGGTTCTGACGACAACAAAGCCGGTTCTGCTGCTGTGATGACAGTCATCTCAGTAATAGGTGTCCTCATCGTCTGCTTGCTTATTGTAGTAATAGTATTCCAAATCAAAGGTAAGATAAAAATGCGGATTAAAAAACCAACAAACCGAGGACCCCATGTAACAAGCCAACGACATGTTGATACTTACTGTGAAATTGACGAAGGTGAGGTGACGGAGGACAAAAGTAAAACACTGAATGAATTTGAAATTTACGAACTTATCGATCAATCAAAGAAAGATGGAACAAAGTATACACCACTACCACCAAGACCAGGTTTATCGAAAGAGGAAAGAGCGGTGATGTCCACTGTTTCAATGCAGAAGATACTGGAGGATGACGATAATAATGATGATGATGATACAAAAGTACAAATGAGGAAAGAAAAAATCAATATTCAAAACCCACCCAAGAGAATGGGAAAAACCTCGGCCCAAGTCAGCGGATATATTGATATGAACAAAGAGAGAGAAGAGGAGGATTATGTTCCCATGGCAGCAGAAAAATCTGAAAATAACACAACTTCTACCAAAGACATTGTATAATACTATCTGGTTACACCTGGATTGGGCTTACGTAAAAACATTTTTTAAATCAAAAATAATTTTTGTTTTTGTTTTCTTGCAGAGAGAAATGGACACATGAATTGTTTATAATTTTTTTGTAATTAACATATATCGATTCCTGTGCATTTATTTGATTTCGTGTAAATGGGGGACTGGGGTAAAAAAAGTTATAAATAAAACCATATATATTTATTTTAAAATATCGATCGGTACATATAATTTAAGGTAGTACAAAACACCTATTAAATTTATTTTAATTAATTTCTTAAAAATTACTTGAGAAATAAAGAATAATATCCCAATATTGTCAATTATCAATGATCTTTGTAAAAACAATGAATAGCTGTGACATGTTTTCGTCATATTTTCTTTAAAAATTGGAGACATCCTATATATTGCTCACTTGTAGCTTACATTTTGGGATGTGTTTATGCTGTCTAAATGCGATATAAAAGTCTGTTATTAAACGCAGTGTAACTTTTGATTCATAAATAGTAGAGGGCTGATATTTGGACATGTATATAAGGAGTCGCAATTCTTTAGGTACATTAAAGGTCAAGGTCATCTTAAGAGGTCAAAGGTCAAATATATTGTGACGTCATCTACTGAATCTTTCACTTTTTTGCCATTGAAATTTTTTAAATCTCCAAAATCTCTCAAAGCATCGGTTCAATTTTCCGTATTTTGACACATTTTAATCTGTGATCCGTTTCAGTCAATCTGTTGATCATTTGTAAAAATTGAATAATACATTTTCTCTTAGGAGAACTTAAAGTGAAGCATACTTACATGTGAATTTTCAATTCCGGGGCTACGTATGTCCTAGTTACTCAAATTTACCATTATCAATTTATTTTACTGAATTTTAGTAACAAAAAGGTTGCCTTTAAAAAAAGCATCACACGGGTTTGCAATTGATGATTTTTAAATAAGGCGCATTCTCATGTCGAATGTTTGATTTCACAGTCTTCTTACATGGGTCTGATAGGCCATACTTCAAACTATGTGGGCAAAAAATACGCGGTTGAATTTCTTTCATATTACATATAAAAAGAGATTTTGTATCCTAGAACAAAATATCAAAGTTTTAAAAAAAAAAATGAATTTGAGGGAAATTTTGGCCTATCTATTGTGTACTACATTAAGATATCTATTTACCAGCGTTTTCGTTTTGTAAATTGATTTCCATAATTTCTGATTAATTTTGAATCCCGTGAATATCTACAAGGGAAGTAAAATTTCAATTGGAACTCTAAAATTTTAAACTATGGTGACAAACTATGGTGTTTTATTATACAAAAATAAATAACAACGTTTCCTTACTTCTGTGTGGAACCTGTGTTGTAAATATATTTATTTACTTTATCACAAATTTCCTCTCTACATGAAACATGTTTGTAAATAACTCGCCAAACTAAAATTATCTATTTGTTTTTCAATTACGCAAAGATTAACATTTAAAATCAATTTTTGCTGGAAATACTCATTTTCATTGTTTTACCCCAACTTGAAAATCACGGGGTGTATAGTGATGGAATGTCCACCCTTCTTTTCGTACCTTCGTAACACTTGGGGGTACCATCTCTTATCACAACTCCTTTTATACCACTAAATACATTTTTTTTTTTGATACTTTCAAAGAATCTTAATTACATAGTGCCATTGTGCACCTCTTATTTTTCGGTTCAATTGGATGGATATTTTTGGTTTCCAAAAGTAAAAAATGGACACTACCATTCTTTCTATTGTATTGTGGGTACACATATCTTATCCGGAACTCCTCCTATGCCACTGAACAAAATTTAATGCGAGTTGTACAGAATCTTTATTATATAGCCCATTGTGCACCTCGTATTTTACGTTTCGTCGGATATATTTTGGGGTTTTCCAAAGCAAAAAATAGACACTGCCATTGTTTCTATAACATTAAGGGGATACCCGCCTCTAATCTGCAACTCCTGCTATATCACTGCATACAATTTAAAAAGAATTTCATACAATCTTTACTACATAGTGCCATTGTACACCTTCTTTTCATTTATTTCGATCGGACAGATATTTGGGGTTTCCCACAGTAAAAAATGGACTTTGCCATGATACTCATATGGGAGCGGGGGTATCATTTTGTATCATTTTGTTAGCCCAGCAAGTGCTCTTACTACCTCTAGTTTAAATTTTTATTGCACAGAAGAAATAAATATTCTTCAATTTCATTGATGAATCATTATGTCTTAGTACAAAATGTCTTTTTAAAAAACTGTAAAATTATCTATAGAATGTAAATGATCTTTGTTTAAATGTCAACAATAATTTTTCTTTTTTTAAACTAATGATTCTTTAAATATATATTTATGAAAATGATTTCTTTCAAGTTATTCTTGAAAATAAAATATAAAAATAACGAACATTATTCATGTTCAAAAGTCCAACCAAACAATACAAATTGTGAACTGGGCAAACATGGACCTGGGAACATGGGATCAGGTGCCATGAAGGAGTAAACTTTCCTTGTCGACCGTTAGAAAACTATTGTGATATGAACACATAAAAGAAACAAAATGTCATTGAGTAGAATTGAAAAATGTTTAACACATTTCTTGGTGATAAACTAGTATTTTTCTGTCGAACTTATGTATAGATTTGAGAAAAAAGAATATTATGCATCAGTCAGCAAGCAGTATCGTAACATTCAATATTTTGTTTACTGAAATTCTAAATAGATGAGGGTCGTTCAATAAGTAAAACAACATACGGTTTATCATAATAAATTTAGAAGCAATTAATTTTATTTTTTCACAGTCGAGAAGTACTTTTTAAAATCTCACAATCACCAAAAACCACATTCTGTTTCCTACTCCCTTTGCAAAGAGAAGAATTTCTAAAGTAAGCATGATCACTACAATGAGTCGGAAACTGTTTTTAATGGTCTCCCCCAAGAAGATGAAAATGAAGGCGTATGTAAAAACTACGATTCGTTACAAAAATCGCTGGAGAAATAATATGAAAGATATGGTTTTGACATCTGGAAAGACAAGCCTTAAAACTATACAGTGTTAAGATGGATCAAGAAATCCAAAAATGGAAAAGTGTTACAAGATTGCAGTTGAACTGGTTGATCAAAATCTGTAGATACACCAAACAATGTTGATGCTGTGACCAGCCTGATATCTTTAAATAACAGATGTACAGTGAAAGAAATTGATAAGACACTAAACAATTCATTATCACAGTTTATAGATTTCTGATGAAGGAAATGTGAATCTAAAAATATTTCTTTATCAGACGGGTGCCTTATTTCATTACAGATGCCTAAGAGGAAACGTACGTTAAATATGCCAATGGTCTAGTAAAAAAATAAACACTTTTACAAGAAGACATGCTAAATCGGATTATGGGTTTTAAAACGTAACATTGGTACATTTTTTTCAGACGTCCAAAATACACTGATGAATAGCACTCTTAATGACATACATTAAATTGTACCATTTTTGTACAATCTTTTGATTGTTTTCTTGAGTTTTTGGAATAAAAAAATCTCACAATGATTGAGATTTAGTGAATACGGGGGATGGATAAGCTCTGTAAACGTTCTTTTTTCCTTCAAAATTCCTTTTACATTTCCATGCTTTTTTTTGTAATACAAACCGTGTCTTTTGGGCATTCCTAAAGATGAGCATGCTGATGCATTCTGGTCAAGGGTATAAAAACTTAAGACATGTATTAAGGTTAACATGTAATATTTTGAGTAAATAAAAAATATAAAGAATCTGCTTCTTGTGCTGTTCTTTTTTTTTATTTTACGACCCTCGTACTGCTTACCAGATTGAGTAAATTGTGCGTTGTGTTATACTGTGCTTGGATTGCAAAATAAAAATGATTTTAAAATAAATACGCGTATTTATTCCATGGAGTACAAAAAAAAGTATATTTTTGTTGTAGACAGTAAAACAATCAAGAAGAGAAAAAATACCTAAGAGCAAATGAAGGACTGTAGCTTCAATAAATTTACATTTATAAAGACTTTGTACCAAACCTGCTGAAGGACGAAGATCATCAAAAATTAAAGATTAGCTATTGTTTGTATAATTTAAGACAGTACCAAATGAAAGCCAATTAAATGCCGAAAGACCTTCCCAGACTTAAAGTTGAAAATTATCCAAATAATCACAATGTAATAAACTAAGTAATGTATGAGGACTGAATGAGCATCTATGACTAAACTGAAATTGGTATATTGCTAATCGACCAGCAGAAATTCACTCAATAGAAAATCTGACACCTTTGAACACATAAGATTTTTAAAGTGAATTAAATTGATAATCATTTTAAGTATGGTGCAATAACTTGAATAATGAGTGGGGTGTATTTATTGTTTGGATTCTGTAAGAACCTGGTTGCATGAAAGTGAAAATTTCAATGATGTCACATGATATTTTAGATTATTATACAAGGGATAAATGGAGCTTTAATTTCATTCATTAACATTCAGCAACTCAGCTGTGTCCAATGCGTTACCTGCACTTTGATTGTATGGTAGCGAATCTTCAAATTGCCATGATTCTGCTACCTTTTTTTTTTATTGTGACGTTGTTTTTTGGAAGTCGCGACGGCATCATTACGATACAAGAAATCAATCTACTAACCAGAATAAAAATCAATAATATTGTGGGAAAACTCTCTTTGTCAGTCAATAGTAAAAATTAAATGACAGCCAATATTCTTATAGCTTATATCGATTATGTTGCCCGTTTTTCTATATAAAGAATATAGAGACTTTTCTTTACTGAATTTAACAAACAATTGCTGTGTTTGAATACGATGATTTAGCCACTTGAGGAGTACAATATTCACCGATCCTGAAGGGCAAGCTTAATATTGTACTTCCAAGGTGGCTAAATCATCGTACTGACTGACCCCCCCCCCCCCCCCAGCGATAATTGTTTTATTATATGATTCAATGATTAAATGATACACTTGAACTCATTAAGCAGTTAATGCCATCTTACTTGTTTACAATTGTTGAAGAACCCAAATGAATTGAGAGAAGTAGGGTTAAATAAACAATACCAGTCGTATATTATTATGGAAAACTGACAGCTGAAAAAAATCTTTAATTAGCCCTTACGAAAAGAGAATTCTCTTAAATTCAAATTTTGTTGGGTGGAGTTAGGGGTGGGGAATTAAGGTATATTAGTGGGGGACCAGTTTTTCAATAAATATTTTAAGTCTAAAATAAAAGTAAAAATTTACGTTAAGAAAAAAATGCTGGGGGGGGGGGATGTCCCTGCACCATAACCTAACCACCCCCACCTTAAATGATATATTCCTAATGTTATGTTCAACTGAGTGTAAGTCGGTAGCAAGTGAAATAGCTTTTCTAAACGATTTGTTTCAATTTGGAAATTCCCAATCTATTTTCAGACCAATGTAGCGAAAATAAATCCTTATATTCACTGGAATGCCAGGTGAATATAACATAGTATTTCGTCTACATTGTTGGATTTCAGCCAATCAGAGAGATAGGAATTATTCAATCATATAATAAATCAGGTTATTGTGATTTGGAAACGGGAAAATTTTATCAATATACATGTATTGTGTTTTGATTTTCTAGAATATTTTATAAATTAAGGCAGGATAAAGAATTTGGTAGATACATTTTTTTTTAAATTTGCTAGCTTCAGGTCATCTCCAGACGATTTTAAAACGTTAATTGTGAGCATTTAAAAACTGAAAAAAGCAAGCAAACATTTGTAAAAAAAAAAATAAAAAATAAAATAAAATAATAGGAAAGACCCAGAGACCTTATAAAAAGAAACTTTATCACCTTGTGTAAATCTGCTGCTTCGTTATTCTTTTAAAATCCATCTCCAGTGCCCATAGCACAGTGAAATATGCAGATTATATGTCAAATGCGCACATCTTCTTTATAAAAGCGGTTTATCATTATGAAACTGACTACTCGTGTCAGTACAAATTCTTATACATGTATATCTAAAAATAGTTGCTTGCAAGGAATGAAATAGATAAAGATAACGAACAGTGATTAAAATAATAAAAAAAATCTACAAGCAATAAAAAATCTGTGAACAGGGCATAAAGCACAGACCCTCTGAAATTCCAGAGGTTCTTTAAAACAAAAAATACTATAGTAAACTACAGTTTCAAATTTATACCTGTACATAACACTCAATAAGATTGAGCAGTGAGGGATCGTTATCGTACAACGCCTACCGTGACCTCGGTTTTAAGGTCTCATCCGAAAGACCTTCAACTTTCACTTTAAAGTGCTAAATGCTTGGCAAAGGAACGTTTGCTACCTATTGTTTGTAGCGGCAGGGGCTTGAACCCACAACCTAGGGAGAGCTCTATCGACTCAAATTATTGTAGAAGGAATCATGCATAATCATGTTTCCTTAACACTTAGCTTTATAATTCCCACAATGATTCCAATGTCTATTATTGAGATGATTTAACTGGTAATAATTAGCTCCATCCAGAAGTAATGAACCGAAATTTCCGTTCGGAGAGAGAAAAACCTGGAACATAGATACCGAGAAAGTATTTATTTTAGAGTTGTCCTTTTTAGATTGATAACGTTATTTATTGGCTAAGTGAAATAAAATGTTTTCATCCCAAACTTCTAAAGCTTTTTATGTAATAACTTCCTCAAAGCTTCAAACAGTATCATTACAATTTATACGTGATGGAATACTCACCATAACCAAACATGATTCAGAAGATTTTGATTTGTAGACTTACGACAATAATTGTGATTCTTCAACATTTATCAGCAACAGAGAATTGCTTAAAGTAAGATCTGTATTTATTATAAAGCATAATTCTTTTAGAAGAGGCCAATGTGCCCATGCTGCTCTTATAGTAATTGTATAACTAAACAAAAAATACAGTAAAGGGTTATTAATTCTAGAATCTAATCACTTTGAATTGAGATGCTGACTTTTTGTTCAAAGTTTGATATATATGTAACTAATTTGAAGAACTGGTAAAGCAACATCATGTTGTGCTGACTATCATGTTTTGGATGGGAAGTGTGTTCGTAAGTTTAATTTTTCAATCGAGACATCAAGCAAGCACAATTCAATTTTTTCCCCAAATTCATGATAAGTTATTTCTTTTTTCTCACAAAAGTTCTTGAATTTTTTTTATATCAAACATGATTCTTTACAATTCTTTCAAGCCTGTCCGTCCGGAACTTTTGGACCAGACTGTAACTACGTCTGTACATACCCTGATTACGGACGCCGATGTTTGGACGGAAAATGCCAATGTCCAAAAGAAATTTGTGATCCATCAGAAGGCTGCAAAAAAGGTGAGTTTTTGTTGTATTTTAAAACAATTGTATATTTTAATGTCAAATTTGAAATAAAAAGATTAAAACGTACATTTGATTAAATATGGTATTAAACTACTGTGAAATTACTAATTTTTGCGTATATAATTTTCATTGTTTTGTGTAATGAAGAAACCATTACATTCATGTTAAGTTTCATATTCATGTTTTCAGCATGTTTTCCTCAGACCATGAGAATATAATGCCACAAAAGAAATTGATTTTATAGTAAAAGAATTCAACTGATGATGTTCTATTTACGATTTTTTTTCAGAATTAATCATTTCTAAAACTAATACCATCTCCATTCTTACTTTATCGTCATCCTTACCAAACTCAACATCTGAATATAATGTACAAAATAATAATAGGAATTTAACACGCCAAGTAAAAGGAGTCTTAATCAAGGAAAATTCCAGTTCTACAGTTGTTGTGGCTGTTATTTCAGCAATCTGTGTTCTTGTTATCGGGTTTCTTATTGTTGTTCTGTTAGTCCAATTAAAGGGAAAGATTACGATACGACTTGAGAAAAAGTCGTCAAGACGAAAATCTAACGTTACAAGCCACAGACACGTAGATACGTACTGCGAAATAGATGATGATAAGGTAATAGACGATGGAGGTAACGATACGGAAGCTGAAGTCGAGGAGTATGAAGTCATCGATCATTCCAAAAAAGATGCAACTAAGTACACAGCTCTTCCCTCTAGAACAAACATCGCTAAACATGGTAGTAAAACGATGTCAAATGTTTCAATGCAGAAGATACTGGAAAGCAGAAAAGATGATCGGAAAACCAGAATGAGAGATAGCAAAACACTGTCAAAAATGCCAGTGCAGGAGTTATCGGATGACAATGCGGAAGATGACAAAAAAGTTGAGATGAGAATTGACAAATCACACTTAAAAACTACACAAAAAAGGTTTGGTAAAACCTCAGGACAAGTTAGTGGTTATATTGATATGGATAAGGGAACCAAAAAAGAAGACTACGTTTCCATGTGCGCTGAAAATGGTACTGGGAATGATTCACTGCAAGGAGAAAATATTAAAGAATAAGGTGAAAACATGTGATGAACAAATGCAGACACGCCTATAGCTAAGAGTACAAGTTTGAAAACAATACCGAAAAATCGATTTTTAAAATTATGTAAGATTAAAGTTCTCTCCCAGAATTAAATACTATTTTTGTATTAATTTTTTTTCTGTTTTATTCTTCCTGTAATGAAACGCTAAGTTGCTATATTTCATAAAATGATTCAATTATAATAAGAATTGTTTTTTTTTTTAATAAATGCCTTATTATCGAATCAAGTGTTTATATAATTAGCTATTTCCAGACTTGCTTGAACATTATACATTTTTAAGAATATGCATTACATTTTATATATTCATATCACTCCGTTCTTTTCATTAGTGACTTTAAAAGATTGTGAATTTATGCTATTTTGGGATGAAATGTTTCCTCTGTCATTTTTTCCCTACTTATCCCAATGAAGATAATATTTTTCAGTTCCTTCCTTATTTTATCATGTTCATATTATTATATTACTACTTGTTAATTGACAAATAATTTCTAAATTTTACATTTAATTAGAGCAAATTGCATTAGACCTAAAGGATTTCACTGTTTGTGACGTGCTGACGCTTTGCTTGTCGAGAAGTTTAAATACTACGTCACATTGTTACCACATCAAAGGAAGTAACCGAGATTGCTTCTCTCCCACGCTAAAGTCGGTCAACTGCAATACACATCGCCGACGTATAACGGGTTTATAAATGGGGACAGACAGTCCATCCGTCCTTTTATCGAATATTTCCTTCACAAATCTTAAACAATTGAAAATAGAGCAGTATGCTTTTTTAGAGTCCATAATAATTGAAGTGACGCCATTGTATATATGCCACATAAAATGTTGTGCCTGATGAAGCTGGATGTTTCCGTATCAGTCCTGGTCATTCTGGGATTGTAGTAGTTTGTTTCAAATCACTGTTGAAAATAATGGTTTTTCTTTGAAAAAATAAATTCCGTGTATGTATTAAACCATGAACTGAGGGACTTTAGAACTGAGTACATAGATCTACATGTATACAACAAACAACCTTATCATGAGCGGATCTAGAGGGGGGATCGGAGGTGATCTGGAACCCCCCCCCCCCCCGGAATTTGCAGAGTTCATAGTACTAAATAATTATGAAGGCAAAACTATGGAAAAAGTATCCAAATTCACAGAAAACTCCAAACTGTATTTGTACAGTAAAATAAAACACAATCTTAATATGGAAGAATATCTTATGCTTGAAAATAGTTTCAAGAATAGACAATTACTAATTAAGTTTCGAACAAGTGACCACTGCCTACTGATTGAAACTGGTAGACATAAGAAAATACCTCGACAACAAAGGTTATGCACTTCATGTAATGCTATTGATGATGAATTTCATTTCTTTTTACAATGTAATTTGAATATACAAGCAAGGAATATACTTATAAAAACCATGTTAGATAATTGTTCCTCATTCTATCTCAAATCACCCATACAGAAACTTGAATATATACTTAGCCCAACTATTTAAGTTATACCGGCTGTTTTCACTTTTATAAAACAATCATTAGAATTAAGAAATAAAAGGTCCACATCGGTGTAACATATAAGGAGTAAATTACTTAAATTGCGCCTATTGTAACAATGAATACATTCATTGTTCTATGTTTTATTTTCTTATTATGAACTGTATTGCTTGACCCATATGGGTGTATTATGCAATAAAGAATTAAATTTATATATAAACCAAATAAAAAGCGGATCTGTGTTAAGCTGGTATGAAAAGAAGTCAACGACTACCCCCCCCCCCCCCCACACACACACACACACAAAATAGATTTTTCAAGTTTGGGCGAGTTTACGTTACGAATACTTCTGCCGAGAAGGTAATTCGTACTCATAATTGTCAATAATTATGTCAAAATGCGAAATTAGTATTTGTACATATCTTTGCTAAGAAAAGAAAAACGCATTTGTAATAGCTTTTTTTTCTTCTCTCTCCTTCCCTCTCTAAGAAAACCTTTCAGTGGCTGCATACAGTCATGTATATTTTATTCTATTGTACCATTATTGTGTGACAAATAAATATATGATCTAGTATTTTCATTTATTTTGATATTATGACGAGATGCTTTAGCCTTCGGTCTACATGTCATATACAAGAATCAAAAATGAAATCTCTGTGGGAAAATCGTTTTTTATTGGGGGGTTGGGGGTTGGTACTCTTATTTCTTTTATTATATAAATACGACAGACTGCCGCAGGTTTTTTGCATGAGAAGGGTTTTTTTTTAACAATACTGTGCATTATGTAAAAAGAGACACATTTTCGCAATCCTTTATAAAACTGAGAAAGCAGGAAGTACATGTACGAGGGTTGTCCAAAAAGTTCGTGGACAAATGCTTAAATTTCTCTATAAAGTCCGCAATGGCAAACATGTACGATAATACCTTAATATAGACCATGATTGAGTAAATGTACAAAAAATTAAAGCAATGCACACTATTTACTGAACATTATAGGTGTAAATACTTTGTATATGCAAGTTGCACGGGCCAGTCTGACGTAACGCTTATTTCATGATAACGTCAGAAATATGAATTTTGAATTTTTACCGCATGTTCATAGACGCACTCTTTTTTTCTTTATCATGCCACATTGCCAAATGTGTGCAATATTATATTTATGTATAGATTATAATTTAAATTCAAAAATTCAAAACAATACACAATAATTTACGAACGTCATCAAAATTAACACTTAGTAAACACAGGATGCTTAGCCCAGCCCGACGACGCTATATTTATAACAACGTCATGAATTTTATCAAATAACAGTGGTTTTACACTTCTTGTAGTGTCTCCGAAATTTTACACACCGTTGAAAAATCGTATACACCAATTACAAATCACTAGACTAAATTTTTTCCAATAAATTTAAGTTGTTTGAATAAATATTTTCTCTTTGAAGACGTTTCAACCATATTAACCATAATTGTATGATTGGACGCTGTCCCGTTCGGATGGCCGACGTCGCTTTTAATTTCTGTCAATTTTTGAAACATACTTCTTGCGGTTTTCACTTAATATTTTCATTGTCTATTTAGTACGCAATACTAAAGGTATCAGAAAATGGCGATAACCGCTTTATTTGTGATATATTAAATTTTTATTCAGCTTTGACTCGTTTTAAAAAGAAAATAATTTCAATCATATCACTTTATTTAAAAGTTCATGGCATTGTAACCCTGGTCCGTTTGTACTATCGGCGTCCTTTAATGACCGAGATTTTTACTAAAATATTAAGTTCAAACAATAAAAACCAAACTATTCCGACTTGGATTTTCATAACTAATATTTTGGTATACAATAAGACCGCGGAACATTAACTGGCAAAATTGGAAATATGCAGCTTACGTCATTTCCATCTGTCGCAGTCAAACACTTGATGATAGACAATGAAATGGGCGGGTACAATTCGGCACGGACGTCTGCGAAAACATTGGATTGAAATTGCAATTCGAAATTCATTTTCAATCCACCTGAGCTATTTTTCGCAAAGTTATAATGTATGATCGAAACAACAAATAATTTCAGTTCCCAAATGCGTATAGTTTGAAATTAATGTATAACAACTTTTTATTTTGGGGACAAACAAAAGTTATAGGAGATATAGCTATATGTATATTCTTTTAGGGGAAGACCATTTGATTCCAGAAGTTGGGGGGGGGGGGGTTGGCAAATGTTGTCGAATCAGATTATTTATGGTTATGTCTCACATGAAACAATATATTAAATATTTGTAGGATGACAAAAGACATTATTTATTTTCTTCTTCACTGAAAAAAATATGAAATTTAATTTCAATCCATCTGAGCTGTTTTCAAACCTAAAGTGTGAATGTATGATTCAAAAGACAAATAAATTCAATTCCCAAATACATATTGTTTGAAATTCATATTTATACGAGTTTTTTAGCCTATAATTTTAAGGACACGTCAAAGTCCTAGAATAAAGAGATTATTTTTTCAGGTGATGGCCATTTGATTCTAGAAAGGGGGGTGGGGTGGGGTGTCAAAAATTGTCGAGTCATGCCTTCACAGGAAGAATATATTAATTTCTAGGACGACAAGAGTTTTTAATTTTTTTTTAGTTTTTTCTTCTCTGAAAAATGTTTGACAAACAAAATCAGGGAGGGTTTGTCCAAACTAAAATAAAACGTTCTTATTCATTTCCAAGATCGTTCAGCCCCCCCCCCTCCAACCGCCCAACCACCAAACACACACATACCAAACAGAAATCAAATATTTGTCCCTTTATATTTCTTTAAAAGCATGGGATAGAAAATTCTGATTTATATATATTTCAAATTATTTGTCTTCTGTGTCAATCAGTAACACCGTGCGCTCTAGCGTAGCTGAGGTGGATTGAAAATGAATTTCGAATTGCAATTTCAATCCAATGTTTTCGCAGACGTCCGTGCCGAATTGTACCCGCCCATTTCATTGTCCATCATTAAATGTTTTGACTGTAACAGACGAAAATGACGTAAGCTGCATATTTCCAATTTTGCCAGTTAATGTTCCGCGGTCTTAAGCACATCTTGAACCATTCATTTTGACAAACATGCCATTATCCACGAACTTTTTGGACAACCCTCGTGTACCCATAACAAGGAACACAATACGTACTGAGTACTGCGTACGCAGAGATTTTGCAAATATCCTCCATTGTGTGTTTGTTGGGGGGGGGGGGTAGAAAGGAAACAGGTGCGTTTTCAGCAACTGTGGGACAACTTTATCACATATTAATAGTGTTTAATAATTATGCGATGCAATTTGTTTTCTTAGATCTTATGCGTGTTTTCTTACTTTATATGCTTGAATTAATTAATACAACGTTTAGAGAATATGACATCTTAAATATTTATCACCAATTCGTACTGGAAATGGAGTATTTATCTTGTTTTAACTCAATCAAATTATAAAAACGAATTGATATTATTCCACATCTTTGATGTGTTACATACGGCATAGACTCGAGT